GGGGTCGGGGGTGCAGTAGAGGCAGCTGGAGCCCCAGCCCTTTAAATAGCCCCCGAGCCCCCCCATCCCAGGGCTCTGGGGGCTATTTAAAGGGCCCGGGGCTCCCCTGCTTCTACCACCCCGGCCCTTTAAATAGCCGTGGGAGCCCTGGGGAAGGGGCAGGGCTCCCGCGGCTATTTAAAGGACTGGGATGGCAGAGGCAGCTGGAGCCCCGGCCCCTTAAATAGCCCCCAGAGCCCCCCGCTACCCCAGGGCTCTGGGGGCTATTTAAAGGGCCCAGGGCTCCCCTGCTTCTACTGCCCCAGCCCTTTAAATAGCCGTGGGAGCCCTGGGGAAGTGGCGGGGCTCCAGCGGCTATTTAAAGGACCGGAGCGGCAGAAGCAACGGGAGCCCCGGACTTTTAAAATAGCCCCCAGAGCCCCGCAGCCCTACCCCAGGGCTCCAGCAGTGGGGCTCTCGTGGCAATTTAAAGGGCCTGGGGCTCCAGCACGGGGCCCTCTTAGGCGCGGGGCCCAATTCAGGGGAATTGGTTGAATCGGCCTAAAGCCGGCCCTGATGTGTACAATATTAAATTGTTTGTTTAAAACTCATACTGTGTATATGTGTGCGTGTGCGTGTGTGTGTATCTATCTATAGTCTTTTGTCTGGCCAAAAAAATTTCCCTGGAACCTAACTCCACTTCCCCATTTACATTAATTCTTATGGGGAAATTGGATTTGCTTAACATCGTTTCACTTAAAGTCGCATTTTTCAGGAACATAACTACAACGTTAAGTGAGGAGTTATTGTAATGTTTTTGCCTTTAAAGACTGATCTGAAAAGGGATCAGTTAGAAGACAGAACTTGCTCTGTATTTGGTACTTTTCTGTCCTATTAAGCATTGCTTGAGTCTTATAATCGGCCAACATCCAACAAAAAGATGTTTCCAAACTCCTGACAAGGTTAACCTGGGTGTCTAAGTTAATGGATTTCTTTGCTAATGTACGCATAAAAGGAAGAAAAATTCTAGTGGTAAGCAGGTCTCTTACATTTTCACATGTCTAAATGAAAGCTGTCATTTCTATTACTATATATGGAAATAGTGGGATGCTATTCCTTTTCATTTTCAACCAGATAATCCCATGTTGAATTAGGTCCAGTTAGCTTAGTTTAGATCAAACTTCAGTATATGGTAGCAAGGTGAAGAAAACAGTTTGCAGCACTGCTTAGCAGTTGTTAAGATCTGTGGTTTGCACAATGACGCCTGGAAATGAGATAATGCTCAAAGCAGAAGTGAGTATCGTATATAGTTTACATTCTGATATTACTTACATAGTGTGCAGATTTTGTATGAATAATAATGTTTTGCATGTCTATAGTGCAGGGGTGGGCAAACTTTTTGGCCTGAGGGCCACATCTGGGTGGGGAAATTGCATGCAGGGCCATGAATGTAGGGCTGGGGCAGGGGGTTGGGGTGCGGGAGGGGGTGTGGGAGGGGGTGCAGTGTGCAGGAAGGGGCTCAGAGGAAGGGGTAGGTGCAGAGGAGGGGTGCGGGGTGTATGCGTGGGCTCAGGGAAGGGGTTGGGGTGCAGGAGGGGGCTCAGGACGGGTGCAGGGAGGAGTGTGGGAGGGGGCTCAGGGCAGGGAGTTGGGGTGCAGCAGGGGTGCAAGGCACAGCAGGGGGCTCAGGACAGGGGGTTGGGGTGCAGGAGGGGTGTGGGGTGTGGCAGGGGCTCAGGGCAGGGGTTCGGAGTGCAGGAGGGGGATCAAGGCAGGGGGTTGGGGTGCGGCAGGGGGCTCGGTGCAGGAGGGGTGTGGCAGGGGATTGGGGTGCGGGGTGCAGGAGGGGTGCGGGGTGCGGGCTCCAGCCTGGCACCACTTACCTGGAGCGGCTCCTGGGTGGCAGCGGTGCGCAGCGGGGCTAGGGCAGGCTTCCAGCCTGCCCCTAGCTCCGCACCACTCCCAGAAGTGGCCGGCACCACGTCTCTGTGGACGGGGGGGGTGGTGGTGCAGAGGGCTCCATGCGCTGCCCTCGCTTGCGGGTACCTCCCCTGAAGCTCCCATTGGCCATGGTTCCCCGTTCCCGGAGCCCTCTGTCCTCCCTCCCCCAGGGGCTGCAGGGACGTGGTGCTGGCCACTTCAGGGAGCGGCGCAGGGCCTGTGGCACCACGGGGCTGGCAATCCTGCGGGCCAGATCCAAACCCCTGACGGGCCAGATCTGGCCCGCAGGCCATAGTTTGCCAACCCTGCTATAGTGCCTTCTATCCAATGATTATCTGAAAGCATTTTGCAAGCAATAATGAATTTACTCCAACACCCTATAGAGTAAATCTTTGTATTCCCATTTTGAAGATGGGTCACTAGAGTCAAAGCTTGAGACCACCATTTGCAAACTTGGGTACTTAAAGTTAGACCCTATAAACCATTTTTAAGCTTCTGAATAAAAGTGGCTTGATTTTTCAGAGTTGTTTCACAGCTTCTAATGAGTGGCTTATGTACAAATAAAAATCGAATGTGTGCACACAATTGGCACTCCATTTCTATCTCCAGCCCTACGAAGTCATGGCCCCATTGAAGCCAAAAGCAAAGCTCCCACTGACTTCAACAGGGCCAGGATTTCTCCCCTGTTTTTAGGAAGTTAGCTTCTGATCCTAGTTCACGGAAGTCAATGCCTGTCAGTGGGTGCAGGATTAGACCCGTATTGGTTAACATCAGTCCAAGAGATCTCAGATATAATTTTGCTGTATATGAGCTTTGAACAATAGAGACTGCATAAACAGGAAAATAAAAAAATAAAAAAATTCTGATCTCCACGACATGGACAACATCATTTTATATGGTTGTACATCATCAAGCAAATGGGACCTCAGTCCTACAGCAATAGAAATAATAATTTGTTGTTGCTAAATAAATACTGAAGAAATTCGAAATTAAACCTATTTTTCTTCCCTAGAATTAAGTCCCTGCAAATACATGTAAATGGGAAACAAATTCCAGAGAAAATCTGGTGCACACACTATGCTAAACATCAAAAATTCTTGTGTATAATAAGAAAGAGTGAGCAAGAAAGCAATTTTTCAAGCCAGCTTTTCTGACCTCCATTGATAAGGATCAGCCTGAAGGAAACACAGTGTGACACTCTGTACCTTGAGGGAACACCCAGCACCCCCATGTTCATCCTTATAATATGATTGCGTGGTATCCAATGCAAAGTCTGTCATGTTGGGTGTCTTTGGAAGGCTCATAATGCACTGAGCATTCTTGCTATAGTGATGTTATAGTGATTGTTGTTATAATAATGTTATAGGTTGCATAGGCGTCAACTTCCCCTCTGCCTGGTGGGTGCTCGATACCCCCCACGCCCCTGGCCCTGCCTCTTCCCGTCCCTGCATTGCCCTCACCCCACCCCCATTCCACCCCCTTCCTCCAAGTCCCCGTCCCTGCCCTGCCTCTTCTCCGCCTCCTCCCCCGAGCGAACCACGTCCCCGCTCCTCCCCTTCCCTCCCAGAAAGTCCTAAGCACCACCAAACAGCTGTTAGGCGGCAGGGGGGCGGGAAGTGCTGGGAGGGAGGGGGAGGAGTGGGGATGCGGCACACTGGGAGGGGAGGAAACGGAGGATAGGAACGGGGAGCTTGGTTGCCGGTGGGTGCGGTGCACCCGCTAACTTTTCCCTGTTGGTGCTCCAGCCCCGGAGCACCCACAGAGTCAGCACCTATGATAGGTTGTAATTTCATGTATTTAGTTATGAGGCTGAAAATGTGTCCTCATGTTTTAAAACAAGACCAGGCTAAAACTCTCCAAGAGCAGAGCAGCAGTTCACACCTCATCAGGGCATGTATGGGACAAACTCAGCCCACCTCACAGGAACAAAGGACACTGGCCTAGGCAGCAACAAAGGATCTCTTGAACTCTCAAGTGAGTCACCCCCTTTCCTTTGGTCAGTTTGGGACTACGATGAGGTAATGCTCACCTGACCCTGAAGGGGGGCGCAAAGGCAAGAGGGAAGAAAGAACATGATAAAAGGGAGAGATACTTGCCATGCTCTTCCTCTCTCTTCCACCTCCATCCACGGACACCACCACCAAGCGACTGAAGCGCTGATCAAAGGGGAGAGCCTGGCTGAAGGGCAACCAGACAGCCTGTGGTGAGAAGCATCTAAGTTTGTAAGGGCATTGAAAGTGTTAAGATCAGCTTACAATGCGTTTTGCTTTTATTTCATTTGACCAAATCTGACTTATGCTTTGATTTATAATAACTTAAAATCGATCTTTATAGTTAATAAATCTGTTTATTCTACCTGAAGCAGTGCGTTTGGTTTGAAGCGTGTCAGAGACTCCCCTTGAGATAACAAGCCTGGTACATATCAATTTCTTTGTTAAATTGATGAACTCATATAAGCTTGCAGCGTCCAGCGGGCATAACTAGACACTGCAAGACGGAGGTTCCTAGGGTTGTGTCTGGGACCAGAGATATTGACTAGTGTCATTTGGTTGCAAGTAGCTGGGAGCAGCTTACATGCCAGAGGCTGTCTGTGAACAGCCCAGGAGTGGGGGTTCTCACAGCAGAGCAGGGTAAGGCTGACTCCCAGAGTCAAGGACTGGAGTGACCTACCAGATCACCAGTCCACACAACACCAGAGGGGAACGTCACACAGTCACTGCATTTTAAAACTAGCATTTGAAAACTCTACTTCCTGTTTACTGGTGATACTTCTGCAGATTCATTTTTCAGGATATTTCAGCTATATGGACTATGTTTTTGAAAACAAGGAAGCTGTGCAAAATCTAGATTTACCAAGCATCAGAATCTTGCAATCATTTTTTTTTACTTTATGAAATCATTTTGGATGCTCAATATTTGCTTTTCAGTATACAGTATCTTATTTTTTAATCTTCATTAACAGAAACAGTTACTGTATTGTTTCTTCAGAAAAGAGCCTGAAGTAGATGGGCAATATGTATTACAAATGTGCTGAAGAGCGAAACATGACTTCATCCATATCGGACGTGGATTCAAAATTTACATTGGCTGTAATGGTATTTCTGGGAATTCTTATGGGTTTGATAGCTCTTATTACAGTGCTTGGAAATGGCTTGGTCATCCTGGCTTTTTTGGTGAACAAAGATCTTCGGCATCGGAGTAATTATTTATTTCTTAATCTTGCTATTTCAGACTTTTTAGTGGGTAAGTTACAATAATGAAGCAAATGTAATATTCATTTTATAGTTTACGGCAAAGAAAGTTTTATTTCATTATGTTGTTTCTCTTAAGCAAATTTCCTGAACATATACCTAAGATCAGATAACGGGGTGGAAGCTGCGTAAAGTACTTTAGCAGGCTATTAGTTCTCAGAAATGTATTAGAAAGAGAAACCGATCTTTTAGCAATGTGAAAGATGTTTGCTCCAGAAAAGAGAGCAACTATTCTATGTAGAATGGATGTGAAACCATTCCTGCCTAGGGGTTATTGTTTGTAACTGGTTTTAATTAACCCCCACTCATCTTTAAAACTTGGAATTTTTGCTTTTCATCATAGATTGTCAGATGGAGCACAGTATATGTTAACCAGTAGATCTTGCATATATTGCAAATTCCATTCAGTTTTTCTGTATTCGGTTGAAATTAACTAGTAGCCAAAAGTTTAAGAATTACTAGTTATTTTTTCCAGGAGTACATACGCTACATCGTTCCATTTACTGAGTCAGCCAACTGACTAGCACTAGGCAGTTTTTGCAAGTATTCTACTGTTCATCTCTGTATCTGGCTGCAGGCTTAAGGACATATGAAAAGAATAAATAATCAATTATTAATCATTTCAGCAGGTTGATGCCACACACACACACCCCTTTTAAAAAACTATGCTTGAAATAAATTAAAATTGATTGTTGGAATCCAAAATTATTCCACTATAGCATTTAAACAAATATGTAGAAGAGTTATCATTGGTAGAAGAGAATTAAATCATTGTAAACGCAGAACAATAGTTTTTAACAAGCGTTAATATTTCAAGAATGTTAAATATTTTTTGAAGGCACAACTGAATTTTCTGTAATTAACATATTTACATCCTGCTTATTTGACTTAAGCAATAACACAAGATCAGCAATGAAGTTCTGGGTGATTGTTGTATGCCTCAGGTGGTATTCAGAGGCAGGAGGCTGAAGACCTAGGGCTACAGCCACAAAAAGGATATAAGCTCCTCGCTGCAATGCCTGTCTTTAGGTGTCCTGCTGCCCACTGGATCCTCAGCCCCGAGTTAGGTGTCTAGGCTCCCTATACAATGCACGGGGTGAGATGGGTGCCTAGGAATGGGATTCTCAGAAGCCAGCATTCTGAGCAAGAAACCACTTAAGCTAATGAGGAGTGAAATGCTGAAGAGGGGTGTGTGCTTTAAATTCCATCCCTCAAAGGGAATTAGGCACCTAAGTCTGGATCAGAGGCAGGCACCTAACTCCACTTGAGATTCACAGCTGTGAACCCCTCCTGGAGTTAGGCACCTAAACCAGGTCAGAGATTGAGAGAAACCTATCTCAGAATGCTCTATAGCCCAGTGGTTAGGGCACAGAGGTAGGAAACTGAGGTTCAAGTCCTTGCTCTGAATCAGGCAGAGTAAGGATCTGAGTTGCAGTCTCCCATATCCCATGAGTGCTCTAACCACTGGCCTATTGTGTATAATTGAGGGTGATAGTTCCTCCTCTGTTTTGGACAGGGCCTGATGCAGTAGGCTTGCTTGTAGGCAGCCTCTCACAATGCCTACTGGATCAGGCCCCATAGGTGAGGTAGGCAGGGGAATGCAGTTTCAGGATCCCAACGTGGCTTAGGTGTGAGCTGGGCATCAGAACTTAGGTAGCTTTGCACATGCGTACCAGTAGAAATGTAGGTGCCATGGGGACTTTGCTCATGGAAACTTAGGCACCTCAGGAATTTAGGCACCTTAAATCACTTTGTGGATCTAGACCAGGGGTTGGCAAACTTTTTGGCCGAGGGCCACATCTGGGTATGGAAATTGTATGGTGGGCCATGAATGCTCACGAAATTGGAGTTGGGGTGCAAGAGGGGGTGCGGGCTCTGTGGTGGGGCCAGAAATGAGGAGTTCAGGGTACGGGAGGGGGCTCTGGGCTGGGGTAGGGGGCTGGAGTGTTGGAGCGAGATCAGGGCTGGGGAAGGGTTGCAGGCTCTGGGCTTACCTCAGGCAGCTCCTGGAAGCAGCAGCATGTCCCCCCTCTGGCCAATGGGAGCTGCGGGGGTGGTGCTTGGGGCGGGGGCAATGCACGGAGCCCCCTGGCTGCCCCTAAACATAGGACCCGGAGGGGGGACATGCTGCTGCTTCCAGAAGCCTCGGCACGCATGTGTGGAGCGGCCTCCGACCCCGGTCCCCGGCTGGAGCGCGGGAGCAGGGCAAACCCCAGACCCCGTTCCCCAGCAGGAGATAGAGGGCAGGATTAAACTGGCTGGAGGGTTGGATGTGGTCCCCGGGCCATAGTTTGCACACCCCTGATCTAGACCCTAGTGCTCTAGTGTACTGTACTGTACTGATAAGTAAAGGAGCCCTAGGAATGCACAGTTGCTGTAATACATTTTAAAAGGAACTAGTCTTTGCTCCTCAGAACATAACAGCATTAATGGGGATAATTTAAATGTTAGATTTATGACATACACAATATATACTCCTATAATATGCACTGTTTGGGAAGGGGTGCATTTTCAGTGCTGGGAATTAGCTGAAGAGCTCCCATTAATGCAGTTCTGGTTCTGGTCCCACCCAGACTTCAGGGCCTGGAGCTATCAGGCTGGGAATGCTGTAGATAGTGTGTACTCGATCCACTGAAGAGCAGGGAACACTTCTCAACTTTCAACAGTAACCCCACTGGCCATATAAGAAGCAGTGTTTATGGACTCCAAAGGAATGGTGGCTGAGATGGGAGGTTTCAGAGATCAGAATGGGAGCATGCTCATAAGTTGCTCATAAGTATTTCAGAGGGATTTAATGAGGCTTTATGCTGAGCCTCTGCCAGGAGTGAATTTCATCCCCCAAAGAATAATATAGGAGCAGTTCATGCCGTACAATTTGGCAGTGCTAATATTTGAACTACGTATTACAAACAGTATACAAATTATATGAACTATGTATGTCAAAATGTGTTGCCAACATTATCCATGCACAGAATAGAGATTGATGCTAACAGACAGTCATTATTAATGTAAATTAATCAAATGGTTCTGTATGCAAATTATAGAAGTTGACACGTACCAGCTGGATATTTATTAAGAGAGACTGTAAGGACCTTAATGTGAGTTGTGTGCAACTCACTGTTTCCAACAGTATTACCATGGTCTTGTATAGTAACATGAGCTATTTCAAGGCAACTTATTTAATTTACTATGTGGTGGTAGCGTCCTACTGAAATATTATCCTTCAGGAATGTGACACACTGACAGGTATTGCAGCAAATTTATATGAGTTGTAGAGGAACCATATTATTAAAAGACTTTGCAAGCATTGTCCAGTGGGATCACTACATGCACTGAAATATAGTTATAGGGCAGGAGGCAGAGTCAAAACATTTCTTTTTCAATTAATTAGAAAGCCCCCTAATTTTTAAAAAAGTAGGAACCTAATGTTAGGTTCCTAAATCCATACAGCCACCTAAATAATTGGCCTACTTTTCAAAAGTGCTGAGCACCCAGCAGCTCCTACTGAGTTGAATGCTATTTTAGGTGAATAGGTGTATGTATGTGTAGGGTGATCTCAATGGGATTCATGTGGCCATTCAGCTCTTTTGAAATTCAGACCACTTATGATCATGCCTAAATATGATGTAGCAGCTTAGCTGTACAGTAACTCCTCGCTTAACGTTGTAGTTATGTTCCTTAAAAATGCGACTTTAAGCGAAACGATGTTGAGCAAATCCAATTTCCCCATAAGAATTAATGTAAATAGGAGGGGTTAGGTTCCAGGGAAATTTTTTTCACCAGACAAAAGACTATATATATATATATATATATATATATATATATACACACACACACAGAGTATAAGTTTTAAACAAACAATTTAATACTGTACACAGCAATGATGATTGTGAAGCTTGGTGAGGTGGTGGAGTCAGAGGGTGGGATATTTCCCAGGGAATGCCTTGCTGCTAAATGATGAACTAGCACTTGGCTGAGCCCTCAAGGGTTAACACATTGTTGTTAATGTAGCCTCACACTCTACAAGGCAGCACAAATGGAGGGACTGGAGATAGCATGACAGACAGAGACACACGCAATGCGGGTGGGAAAGAGAGAGAGAGAGAGAGAGATGCGCATTGACCCTTTAAGTACGCTGACACCACTCTAAGTACATTGCTTTTTTAAGTAAATCAGCAAGTTGAGACAGCAGCTGCTGCTAGCAAGCTCCCTCCATCCTGAGCCCTGTTATGTCCCCCCTTTCTCTATGGAGATGGGGTAAGTGGGGTGCAGGAGCAGGGGGGTGGGGGACACCCTGACATTAGCACCCCACTTCCCCTCCCCCCCCCGCACAGCAGGAGTCTCTGGGAGCAGCTCCAAGGCAGAGGGCGGGAGCAGCACATTGCAGTGAGGGGAGGGACAGCTGAACTGCCGGCAACTGATAGCCTGCTGGGCGGCTGCTGCACAGGGAACTTAGGGGAGTGGGGAGCTGATAGGGGGGCTGCCGGTCCACCCTGGTTCCAAGCCCCCACCAGCTAGCTCCAATGGGCTGCTCTTTCTGCAAGCAGTGGACAAAGCAGGTGGCTGCCAAACAATGTTATAAGGAGCATTGCGCAACTTTAAACGCGCATGTTCCCTAATTGATCAGCAACGAAACAACATTAACCGGGATGACTTTAAGTGAGGAGTTACTGTAGCTCCCATTTTTGAAACTTTTGGTTTAGGAGATTAGAGAGGGCACCATATTTTGAGTTGTCATAAATGTCCTGATGGGGGCACCTTGATTTTCAGCCAGTTCCCAAGATAGCCCTTTCTGCAGACCAGTGCTTTCCATTTTCCAGTGCAATGCAGAGTCATTAGTTCACTGAACCAGGAGAAGGAGACCCTCCTACTGAGCCATCTATACCACTCCAAGCAGTGCCCAATACATGTTCCGAATATGTAGCACCTCTTTTCATCAGAGTATTTAAGTCATTCCACTTTAGCCTTTAAAACCTTAGGTACCAGTCCTGCGTCCTTTACCGATGGCCTTCCATCTAATTCTGGGACTGGCATAGAGGTGAAACCAAGAGTGTCCATGTTGATATCCAGGGCATTGGGCTCCACATTGACCACCCTCCCATCTGTATTTGCTGTTCCATAGCTCAGGCCTTCTGCACAGACCTTTTCTTCTCAGTGGTTGACAGTTTTTTCAGAGACTTTTGTTTCTAGGTTTAAGCAGAGAGCTCCAAGTCCCCTCAGGCTGCCTTAATGTTTCCTACTCTCCTTTCAAATTTCCTGTGGGCCTGAACTCTTCTGAGTCAGTAAGAAGTGTTAGAAACAGACAACTCACATCTTGTCCATCCTGTTTGCAGGGCCGGCTCTGGCTTTTTTGCCGCCCCAGGCAAAAAAGCCTC